GGACCCAGACAGGCCTTGTCTCAGGCTGGGGGCCTCTGGGGAGGGCATGGGGGGGGGGGCTGTTGGGTAGAAAGTGTGACCCAATCATACTGTAACTGTAACTGCACAGTGGTGGCACTGAGGTCAGGATAAAGGGAAAAGATCGAAGGTAAAAATATTCCTTTTCAGATAATGACAGAAAATGGAGCAGTTGTGTGTGACATGTAAATAAAAGAGATTCTAAAATGTGACATGCTCAGCATTTGATTGACTGTATATTCATAAACACACATGCAGACGCCCCTGTAAAGTTCCAGTGTAAGGTGTGGGGTGTACAGTCATCGTCCCCATCACCATCCACCTCTGCTCATCACTGCTCACAGACCACAGTGTACTGAACTGTTCCAGCACGGAAACGCTGTCATCTACACCGTAGTTATGGTAGTGGGCTACGGGTGGGTTAACAGAAAAGAGCTTCAGTCTTCTCAGTGTGGCTGTGTGAACGCCTGTGGCACAAATACTGGCTCCAAGGGAGCAGAGAAGATTTGCTACTGTAAGGGTTGATGTATACATATACATATTTATACATGTACCCAGAGTGGATACCAAATGTTTTATTTCAATTGAAATCCAACTATCCAAAATAATTGGTACTACATGGTCCTGTCAAATGGTGTGTGATGATCAGTTTGTGATTTAGGTGATAACATGCAAATTAGATTTGACTTGACTTACTGACTATGAAGGTGAGTGTGACCGGTTCCATGTCTCTGTATGTGTCCCTGTGATGCAACCGTCCAGGGTTTAGCGGTCACTGACAATAATCTGCACAAGTAGGACAACAACAGTGCTCTTTGTGTCAGGTACAATGCAAATGAAAATGACGTGTGCCCCATGACATGCAGTCGAAGTTTGCCCCACTGTTGCTCTTCTGTTTCCTTCATTATAGATTCCATAAGCTGCATCTTTATATAAGATCGTCGTGGACGTGGTGTCAGTCACTCAGTGAGAGGTGCAGCGGTTCCTCCTCCCTCATGTATAATCAGCGTCTGACTAAATGACAGCAGAGTTTGACTGAGACATTAAACACACACACACACTCATTAATGTGACTGATGGTTGACAGAATAACCAAGACCTCACTGATAGCTCCGTGTCAATGAGGGGAGGGGGAAAAACCTTAAACATTCTACCAGCGGCTGAACGCAAATAATGACGGGACACACACATGCACACACACTTTAAACACCAACACACAGAGCAGCCGTGCGCATGCAGTGATTAAAAGACGACACATTAGCACATCGACACACACACACACACGTGCTGTCATGTCATGATGAAAGCTGTGACTAATGAGGCCGTCCCCCCGTTTTATGGCCTGTATTTATTGTGTCCCTTGTCACTAGCCGTAGATCGTCTTGTGTCTCTTTGCCAGAGCAGGAGATGAGTGTTGACATAGAGTTAACACTTGTCATCATTTTTACTTCACACACAAACACAAACACGCACACACACTCCTGGAAGTGCCCTTAATGTTAAATACCTTTCGTAATGATCCTTTTACTCAGTACTTGCTCAGTGTTTGTCTGTTACGCACAGGATAAACTAAGGAACTTTAGGATCACTTAACACATACAGCGCACTACATGTAGTACCTAAAGGTTAGCCAAACGGTATAGATATAAGATTGCTACCTAAAAGTTGCTCAACATAGAGAATAACAAAACGTTAGCCTAAACTTGACCAACAGTTAGTCTAATATAAAAAAAACTGTCATGAGTTACTAAAATCAGCCAAAATATACAGTCAAAGTAGTCTAGAAATATCTTAAAAGTCACGACATAAAGTGACGTAGTAGTAAGAAAAATTTAAATCAGAGATCATTGTAACCACAGAACTAAAATTGGCCACAATTACAGCAAAAACATTCTAGATTGATATAGTATGAAAATAAATGTTCAACAGCATACGAGTACTTCACTGACGCATTCACTGTACTGCATCCCTGTTGTACTGTAATACTTCTACATCTCAGAGGGTGATGTGTTTGAACCTGTAACGATCTAAACTAAACATATTCAAATGACGTCTTTACGTTACAACATAATCGTGGTATAAAGGAACTACAGTATGTGACCTAATGATGTGCAGCACTGACACAGTCCATCACTGACACCTTTGTCCACAGCAGTGGAAACTGTTAGCAGCAGCCCATTGACAATAGAAGCTGTGCAGTGTCCACTGACCACTGCAAGGCTCCGCGTCGGACCAGCCTCATCTAAATGTTTCACATTTTCAGGAATGTTTCTCGTCCTCCTCCTCCCTGTCCAATGAGGAAGCAGTTGGGCTGAGATGGAACGTCCTCGGATAATGTGGCCTGTTTTTCTCTTGTCTCGCCCACGGACACAAAAATGTTTGCACACTGTGGCCATGAAGTGAGAGAGAGAGAGAGAAAGATGGAGAGCGAGAGATGGAAAAGAAAGTCTGTCGGAAGAGATAAAAGGAGGAGAAAGAAAGGGAGAGATGTGTGAGCAAGGGGGAGAAAGAAAGCTGAGGAGGAGGAGGAGAAATGAGGGTTAGGAAAACAGGATGGGAAGAGAGATGGAAGAGTGGAGGAGCAAAGA